TTAAAAAATCAAAAAAAATTTATTTTCCATTTTATTAGAAATATAAATTATATGCAGGTGTTGCTGCATAAATAATCTCATGAATAACTTTACATTACCTAACTTTGCATTAGAAGATTTTAGAGCACAATATATTTTCACTGTAATATGTGATTATATTTATTTCTATGAAACAATTCAATAAGCAAAGGCCATACATGCACTATTGCTACAGTTGCATGTTATAAAAATATTTAAACTATTCATCAGCTCCGCTGTCAATCTACGTGTTCTTTTGCTTCAAATGAAATTTAATTTGAATTTCTTCAGCTTCCTCTTTCACTATTTTTATGCTTAAGCTGTAGTTATTTATTTTGATGTTTTTCATTAGTTTAATCTAAGTTAACAAATTCAAAAATTTCTAGCAAATTAGTTTCATGCACAAATTTTGTCCATTGTTAACAATATATGATATTTATAATTGTTTCTTTTTCTTCTGCTAAAGGTTCGTAAAGTTTAATGACTTCAAAAAATTAAAACAAACAAAAATTTATTTTTCTCATTTGATCAAATGTTAAAACTTATTTTTCTCTTTTGATAAAATGATAAAATAAATAAAAAAGAAAATACGACAGAGCTAATTTCTTTAGGGATTTATCAATGCCTTCAAAAATTCTCATATTTCAATCTTGAAAGTTATTTTTTCAATAACTGGTGTACTTTTCTATTGATATACGTCGTCAATGAGTCTATTGCACTATGAAAATTTTTTGAAAACTTCTGTTATTCTCATTGCATTAAAAAAAACTTTCATAAATTTCATTTTTGCATATATTCTCAATTTTCAGTTAACTAAGTGCTATTTTTAATAACATGTGATCATTAGATTTAACTGCAAGAATTGAGTGAAAAACACTTTGATGAAAGATGTTTATTTCAGAGGTTGCGATTAATGCAATCGTTCCTAATAAATATGAAAAATGTCAAATAAAATTTTGATCCATTTCACACGCAAATATTCAAAAGAATTATCATAATTAACAAAGTTATGTGTTTCTAATGAAGAAAAAATGAGCATCTCTCCATTGATGCAACTCATCCACAACCTGAACTTCCACTAATATAACCTGCAACTAACTGTTAATCTATGATGTCCAAATAATTGAGCCAAAAATTGTCTACTTAATATCCTCCGCCCTCTTAGCACATAACTCATTTCACATTAGCACTCGAAAAATGTAAGGTTTTAAATATTAAAATTATCTTTCCAAATATTTCAAAAATATAACAGTCTTAGTTGTTCAAAAATTATAATATATAATCTACCGATCATAATGAAGAAGTATAGGAATAATGATTCATTTGCTTGAAAGATATAAAGATAGCTGTGCTTTATATCTTTTTCATTAGCCGCATAATTTACCTTGTAGAAATTCATGTTGTCGAAGATTTGATCAGAATTCTGCCCACAATTAATATCTTTTGGTTGTGTGATTTTTAATTTTAAATTTGTTTCCAAATTACAATTATTGCAAAATAACTCATTTTGTCCAATAACTTGTTTTTGAACTATTTGAACAGAACCTGATTGAGATACACACTAATTGCAAGAAATATTTCAATCCAAACATAACGAAAAATTTTTGCATTAATTACTCACTCATTCCTCTACGAAAAATCCAGTACTGAATCTGAACAATACTGTTAATTTGCTTAATTATCTTTTTTGAAAGGATCATGAAGAATGTCAGGATGGAAACTCAAAAGTAAAGCACAAAGTTTGTTCATGACTTTAAGTTTAGTTTCGGAACTTCAATTTTATATTTAATCATTCTAGCAATGATACAATTTTAAAATACATAAGCACAGATTATATGCCATCGGTTGAGTCGCAACCTTTCGATTCAATTTTTTGGCTTGCTCAAATTGAATACTCGTAAATTTTGCATATCACTGTAATCTTTTTTGATTTAAATCGTTTCTCACATAACAATTAAATCTGAAATGTTCCGGCAATGTTTTTTTTCTGAAATATTTTCCTATCACAAATTATTTAGAAACTGTTAGCGTATTTTATTTGACAATTTCTATTTCATTTAATTCTTAAAAAAAAGACTCCTATTTCCCTTAGTTACATTGCAAGTTGCAATTGCTGCAGAAATCGAAATGAATCAACAACAATAACAAAGTTGTAAATTGAACTTATGGTGTGAGTTCACCAACTTTACACCAATTGTAATGCCAGACGATAGCTTAGAGAAACAATTAAACCAATTCTAATCTGTTGGATTATTTTCACACCAGATCTATCAGGATCCGAAATTATTATTATTCTGATACATCTGGCGTATCTATTTTGTTATGAGATTGCTTAGACGTTCACATCTCTTCCCGTACTGATAAATAACGCATAAAACAATGATTCAATGGTTTAAAAAGTATTTATTCAAAAAAGTCCACAATAATGCAAAACTTTTCTTTAATATATATATTTCATGCAAATTTTGGTAAAGAAATAATATGGATTTAAATTTTACACTAAATGAGTAAATGTTTGTTTAACTTGTACAGAGTTGAAAATGGAAAATACACCATTAAGTCGATTCCATTATTACTGACCAAATGCAAAATTAATAATGAATTTGTAAGATATGGCAAAACCAAATGAAGGAATGAACCATACCCATAATTTTTTCCATTACTCTTTCGTTCGTTTCTTCACGAGAGAGATATGTATCATTTAAAGATAAGATTAAGTCATGTATTTTGGAAGAATCATTGCAATCAATATATTTACATCAGTTCTTTCTATTCTTTTTCGTTTTTCCCATTTATTTCGATTGATCAGAAAATCTTCCCATTTATAAATTTTGTGAAACACTTTTGTAGATTATGCTTAAAAAGAGAAAGGAAATTTCATATTTTGTTCCACTTACGATACTAATTAATATAATTGTTGAAAGAAAATTTTCATTTCGTATCTGTCTATCATAGAGTATGGACAGGTATGTGAGAATTATGGAAAATAGATGATCACTTTTATTTCTGATCTGAAGATATTTATGCAAATATTTATTGATGCAAGCAAGAAATTCACTTTGTTTTTATTAAAAAAAAGCATTTCTTTTTCCTTTCTCATTCTTAACTTCCCTTATTACTTTCTCAATTAGTTTTGCTGTTCTGTAAAGCTAAAACAGTGAAAGTTTTATTACTATCGGCTATCGACATAATTATTCCCGTGGTCTAATCATCTTCTCAACAACATTCTCATCCTCCCAACCGTCGTTCTTTTTTTGATTTTGCATAAAAACGTAAGAGGAAAAATTGGAAAATGCAAATTCACAAATTATTTCAGAAGGAATTACAATTTAAAAGGCATTAAATAGCCTATTTCCGACACATTTGGCCTATTATTTCATTCCCCTTCACGTTAAAAGAAAAATTTATCCAAAACATAAAATTTTCATAATTTCAAACATAAGCCAAATATTGCTAGGATATTTTAGCAATGCAGTATTTTCTTTTCATTTACCATCCTCACATCATTTTACAACTTACCAATGAAGGAAATTTGGAGCTAATTAATTAAAGGCTTTCGAAAAAAACACAAATTATCCACTACATAACTTCTATCACAATCATCAACTGATTTTTATAACCAAATTATTTGATTTTAACACGTCAATCAATAATTTCAAGTTAGCGTTATTTGTATTTATGCAAATTGGAAAAGAACTCGGATTTTTCATTAGTAAGATGATATGCAAAAAACGAAACATTGTATTCTATTGTCCTTCCGTTACATTTTCGTATCGGTCAATTCATCGGTAACTTTTCCATACCTTTCCATACCTATCTATTATATGGTGCGAAAATTTGCACATTTTAAATTCATCAAAATGCACGCTCAAAATATAGTTACTAGCACTTTGGTGCCAATATTAATCAGGAAATGCAAAGACGCTTATTCCGGAATGCATTTTATTCAATCTCGAAATATATTCAAGCACGACTTAGTTGAATAAAACTGTTGTTTACATATTCCTGGAGGAAATTTCAATAATAAATTGGTCATCCTAGCAAAATCAAATTTTCCTATATCATAGCAGCGAACAGTCTTCTCAACATTGTTCTGAAATGATTGTTTTCCGAATAAACTGCTAATTCCCCCGAATAAATCAAAATTTAATTCTTGAATTCAACAGCAAAATGAAATTGGCAGTAAAATTCGATAACAATGCAGGGATATTTACTTCAGAACAGGTAGCATATACTTACAAGAGCAGTAATAATAGTAATCATTTTTGCAAGAAATCATTGTTTCTGCAAAAATAATTGTGCTTCTCAAATTTCTTAAAATCAAAAAATTTTTTTTGAACGACACAAAGCTATTATAAAAAGCTGTTAACAAAATTATTATACACTTTCAAGACTTTGAACCATAAATTACACACTCGAGATATAAATTAGAGGGACTAGTTACTGACGTTTTGGAGGAATAGAAGTTTGCATATCTAATTTTGCACTAAGTTCTTCGAATTAAAATTGTTTTTAAAATTTCTTTTCCAAAAGAAGTAAAATTCTTTTAGTGAACTTCCGGAAAATTTATTACTTCAAACTGCAAAGTCTTAACTTTCATGACGATGCATATGGTGCGTGAATACTTAAAAAGTTAAAATATCCAAAAGAATACATTTCAAATATAAGCAAGGTTAAATATTTGCAAAATTGGAAATAAAACTGAGAAATGAAAGTGATGAAGGCTACAAATTGGTAAATTCAGTGCTTTTGAAAAAGCACATATCCAAAAGGGATAAAATCTTGGAAGAAGATGGCTAATAGGTTAACGTCGATTCGGTAGGATCAGGATCAGAGGCAGCACAAATGCCCCCTACTGACCTTTGCAATTAAACATCCCATCTCCGTTATTTCTTGTAAAAGTTCGTGGAATCTTTTCACGTACACTTTCAAGGCAAAAGAACATCAGCTTTAAAAGGTGTAAACAAAAATGTCAAAATTTTATAGAAGCAAACTAAATTAACTGATAACTAGTCGAATTTCGAGATTTTTGAATTACAGGAATTACAAAAATTAATGCAAATTTTTAATTGGATTTCGCCAAAAGCTAACATTTATTTGAGCTATATGATTTAAAGTGCAAATTTGAGGAAATAAATATGCAAAACTAACGACAAATTTAGGTAGTGGTCTCAAGATCACCTGGTTATGAAAATAGTATGGAAGATCAACAGACAAAATACAAATGGGAAAATTGAATAACTGAACTTTCTGGATGAACCCGCTCGTCTGTAAGCGCTAGCTTCCACATCAAAAGTTGACAGTTCGTAATCTTTTGTCCTAAGTTTACCTGTAAAAGAATAATTAATAATTAAGATTAAAGAATAGAAAATGAAACTGAAATAATAAGGAGCGCTATCACCAAATAGATAGGCTTAAGGATATTTCAATGTGATTTCTGTTTTGAATTGTTAAAATTCTTTGAATTCTGGAAATTAAAACATTAATTCGAAAATGGATAAGATTACTTACCAAAATAACATTTTTCAATAGACAAGCCACCAATTAACCTTCCCATTGTCGTATATCCGGTTACTAATGGTTCCTCAATTATGCATAACTTTCCGTAATCAGTGTCCTGTTTCAGGAACGGAAAAAACACATCCAAATCAGCGGATTCACGGAAAACGAATGTTTGTGATGCTGGACGTGCCATCGAAGCACTTTGCAACGTTGCAGTTAGCCTTTACAAATCAAATGTTATCCAACCAAAAACACAGCAAAAACTTTTTTCGCTAATTTTAATTCCTTAAGTTAGTTAAATGAAAAATTTTTTAAACTTTAATTAGATAGAGCATTAAAAATTACTGCAAAATGTGCTAATCTTTCAAATTAAATATGAAAAAAAAGGATTGAGGAAAAAGGCTAGCATAATTAAGAGCAATTATAATGTGTGTATGTTTAACGATCAATCGCTTTAACAAATATAACAAATGGAAGTAGTGAAGTGTAATCGCATTAACCAACAGAACAAAACAAATATATGGGATTAAATTTCATTCAAAAGTACTACCCAATCATTTCATTTCAATTCTTACATCGCTTCTATAATTTTCCAATGAAAGACATACAACTATTACAGATGACAATTATAAATTATAGACAGTACTCCCGATCTACAAAATTTTTTTTTTATCTACAAAATTACGAAACATTGAGCATACCTTTAAAAAGAAAGTCAAATTATCTGTGATGTATTTTCTTAAAATCAAAATTTTAATATTCTATATATCATCCATTAATTTTAATACATAATTATTGAAACTTAAGTAGAAATTGAGACCTCTGTTTGTTCATATTTTGGTCTTCCATTACTTTTTAAAATTCATTCACTCATTTCTCTTTAAATATTTAGTTCGTTTTCTTATTTGTTTGCTTATTGATTCATTCGTTGTTTTCGTTTTTTTAAGCACTGTTATCTAATTTAGCAAATCATATAATTTTTAGTCGATCTGCGAAGCTGAATGTGATAAGGAAATTTGCGACATTTATAAATACAATTACTATCTGTTTGAAATAAAGAAATTGGAAAATAAAAAAATGAAATCTTGAAATGATTATAGCACACCATCCAAATACCAAATACTCATCATTTAAATATACCAATTCTGAACAGATTGTTCCATTCATAACCATTGAGGAATTGCTTTTACGATTATATAATAATATTTTTAGAATATCTCCCGAGTGATTTACTGAGATTCTTTATTTCATCGGGAAGTTGCATTAAAATTTGCGATTACCTGATTGGAAATTCGACGACTGACCGGATCCGGAATTGCATCGTTGCGGATGAAATATCAATGATTTCTACGTCAGTGACGCTCGTTTCAGCGCTCTTCCCGAATCGATCCAACGTTCGCAATGTTCGACAATCAGTACCCGTTGATTCGTTGTGTCTATTGAAATTTTCCCATTCAACGCAAATGTAATACCACTGCCGTTCCCTTAAGTCGGATATACTTACCTGAAATATGCCAAATGTTTTTAGGAGAATACAAAGGCTTCTGATTCCGAAGAGATTAAGATCTCTAGCAAATTTGAAATTATCTAATAAAATTAACGGTGAGAAAGATACTTTTTTCTATTTTTCACAAAACCAACAACATTTATTGCTCGCATAGCTCTGTGATTTTGGGAATATGGCGATGGATGTCATATTAACGTCCTCTATCTCACTATATAATTATCAGAAAAAATCCGTTTGTAACCATTATGTTAATTATAGGTCGGCAAAATGGACTTCAATTTCCGGAACGGTCAATGAAATAGTTGAAGGGATCATGCCGCTATGTGATAAAAATAACTCTTCTTTTCTGCTCCCTTTCTAATATTTCGATGTACATAAAAGAATACCTAAGTATTATTAATAAATTTTGAAAATTTTGAAAATGTTTCAGTTTTTGACGGATACCAAATTTATAAATTTACTTGTTTATCATTCCGAATATTGTCCGGATAGAATATTTTAACAGCAGCAGATTCTTCAACTCTTAGTGGTATTGCGGTTATGAAAAGTGTCGGAATTTGAATTGGTGCAAGATAGGAATCGAGGAATGAATCCAGTAAAACAATCCGGAAGCCGCGTTTTGTTGCATCCACAAAATTTATAGCTCTATAGCAGAAAGAGAAGAAAAACTTTAGTCAGTTAATAAATTCAAATTTTCTTTCA